GAGTGTGCAAGCTCTTAGAAATACTCCAAATCAGCAGTGACTGATGCAAAAGCTGGATTTAATCTCTTCAGGAATGAAATTTTCCCTCTTTGAATCAGAGGAGTGTTGTACAGATAAAGTCATTGCAATTTATTTGGCATGCAATTTTTATGATGTCAAGGGTCACAGAAAAAGGCTCTGAAGAGCTAATTTCAGTGCAGAATTTTGCTGATACTGAAGCTCAAGCACAGAAAAACATGCTTTACACACTTAGCATCATCCATCCCATCACTAAATGAGTCTGGGGCCAGGTGGAAAGAAAAAATGGCATCATGTGAGAAGCATACAGAAATAAACACATAGAAGAGTGTCACCCAAAATCCTGATTCCCTTTGATTATGATATCCTGCCAATTCCTACCAAACACTGGCAACCAATTATTCCCTTTTATGCTAAAGGTTTTATTATCTCTCCAATCAGTCCAGCACGTCTTGTAGAAAAGCTGGTTCTAGAAAAGTTCCTGGAACTAGAAAAGTTCCTCAAACAAGATGGCAGAAACAAGAGGAGGTGACAGAATGAGCTAGTTGACTGGGTAGCTCTAATAGGCTGTGAATTTCTATGAATCTTTGATCAGACATACTGCTCGCTGTCCAAAAGGAGGAATAGCCTAGTAACTAATCTAAGTGTTGAAATATTTAGGCCGAAATCCTTGGCCAAAATCCTTCCTTTAAGCTATTTTCTCTATGTGGCATCAGAAAAGTTATTTATTTTCTTTGTGCCAGTTGTAAATAGAGATGATAATGCTTTTTCTACCTTGCACATGTGTTATGAGGATGAATGCTTCAGCAACATAGACCTCTTACTACCAAAGACAGATTGAGCGGCGTGTCTTAGATAAACAGCATTTTGGAGTGCCTGCATACGTTCTCAGTAGCAGGTTTAAAATAACCATATAAACCTTTTTTCATGATGCCTATAATTACATTGTAAAATTCATTGCTGCAGGGTGCTGCAGAGACCAGAACAAATGACCCAGTAAATTAGTGAAGGACAATTTCATCACTAGCTGTGACACATAACAGTGTTTAGTGATTACAGAAGTCTCCAAATACCTGATAGTAATAATCTGAAAAGTTATGCTGGGGAGGCATTTTTCAGTACTAGTTGTTTTTTAAACTATAAAGACATCATCGTGGATTAGATGGACCTTCAGCCCTTCCCAGAATTAAATTCAAGTGGTAAGTGGGTTTCTCTACTTTCCAAACACTGTTTTCCAAGTTTTATATTATGTAAAATATCATTGCTACACCAGGTCATGGAGACATTATCTCCCAATCCAAAAAGGAAAAGGTGATTTAAGAGCCAGGGCTTAAAGACAACACAGTGATTTAGGCGGAAGAGACATAGCACAAATAGCAGTCGTTCTGCCCGTGAGAGTTATGGTAAAGGAGCAAAGCAGCACAAGGTCAGAGATGAGGGGCACTTCCTCCTGCACCTCATGGTGCGTTGTGCATGCTGCTGTCATGAGATTTAATAAGCAAAGACGCAATGCAACTACTACACCTAGTCACGTTTGTTAGAGGAACAGAGGAGATGTGAAGGGATGACACCTCATCAGAGGATATTTCTAGGTTTTCCTATCACCTAATAATGTCTAGACATACCCAAATTCTCTCCGGTTTGTTTTTTTCCATCTTCTTGCTCGGTGTCCAATTTCCAGCTGTGAATTGTTACTTTCCTTTGACATATTTTTTTCACTACTGAGCTAATGGGGGACACTACTAGCTTCTAGCTTCTACTTCTATGGAAGGAAAAAAAGTCGGTTCTAAAAATATGGAAGAACTACTATCTTTAATCCAAGGAAATTTAGTTGTGCCATTTTACTGCTTGAGTATCTGTTCAGATTTTATTTTGATTTTTTCCCACCACTTACGATTTTAAGGTCACAGTAAGCCTTATCGTCATTTCACCCTAAAATAGATTATTCTAAAAATAAATCAGGGTGCAAGTATGTTATATTGCTCTTTTTTTCACAAGTTGAAACAGACTTTCATGTCAACAGTTCCAAACTTCTGCTAGCCACAAAAGGCTCTTTTTTTTGGAATGAGTATGTATTGTTGTAGCAGAGTTTAACACCATACCTTGGCTTCTATTCACTGAAAAAGATCTTAAAAAGGGGGAGTGATTATTGGTTAATTTAGGATTTCCTCCATACAGATGTTTGGATGGTACCTTACTTATTAATAATTACAAAATTAGGAAAAGAATGATCAAAATTTTGTTGGAGAGGGATGAGAAGAGGGAGTGCCGGGTTATTGCTGACTTCGTCCTCTCACCAAGCCTAAGCCAGGGTGAGTTATGCAGGACTTGCGTGTTGTAGTTCCTCAGCTGAGACGTGGAGGTGGTGGCGGACACCAACCAGGAAGAACCCTGACTGCCGATTGCACAGCTGCGCATAAAAATACTTTATGCAGAGAAACAAGATACTTCATCCCTTCAGCTTTCCATGGTACCATAATTGCATGCCTCTCAATATCTTGCCTTCAAACAAAGCTTGAAATTTGAGTATTCACTCAAGGAAAGGGTGTATGTGCAGAATTATGTCTCCACATGCGATTTTTAACTCTATTCTTCCCTATGCTTATTACTTCTATTTATAAGATCTCATTCAAGTTGCTCTCTGATTTTTCTGTTTCATACTCTTCCTATATTTTCCCATTTCCCCTCCCCCTTGTGTTATTTTATCATAAAATATTTTCTTAAACTTAAAATCTGGAAAGCGTACTAGTTACCATGGCTTTGCTGTAGAAATGGATAGACCAGTTCAGGAAAAACACACTTGGAACAGTAAGTCAAAGATTTTCAGTGGCATGAGAGAAACTAATGAGGTCAGAGGGTGAGGTCTCATACTCTACTGGCCTCACCTCATCACGTAGTATGCACCTGCAAATATTCACTTCACATACTGTATCTCAGTGGTTATGGCTCATTGCAGAAAGAGCTACTGAATTTATCAAACTGATAAGTGTGGCTGCATGCTACAAGATAAATGAATGCTAAAATTTTTCCTTCTTATTTTATTTTAAAATAAGCAGACCTCATGACACAGTATCTCTGGAGAATAGTAAAGAAGTATAGAAAGTGTAATTTTCTTCTAATGCTGTTTTTGAGACTTTATTAAACTATGCAAATGGTAGTATATTTAAAGGGTTTTTTTAGTGGATTGTTTATATTTAGTGTTTTTCCTAAGCCTTTCATGCCTAGTTTACTGATAAAGCTTTTAATGAAATTGTATTTATAAAGTCTCATTTTTAAAAAATAGCTATAAAACTTAATTTTAAATATACAGTACACTTGCCATTACCAGCAAGTGTTTTGTAATGCAAACTGAAGGACAGCACAAAGGCAGGGGAATTTTGTGTCATCCCTGCAGTCATAACATTTGCAGGCTAACCAGCTCCCAAAGGCAGGTCCTATGTGTTTGCATTAAGATACTCATCCACAGTTTGTATTCTTCAAAACTGACCTTTATGCTCAAGTCTTCGTTTTCACTCATAACTGTAGAGTTCACTAAGTGTTAGATATGCCTTTATATTTTGTAAATCGTGCTCACTAGCTAAGGACTCTTGTGTGCTAAGGACTCTTACTTGAGGTTTTGTGCCTTCTTTTACCCCAAGAAAACTTACTCAATGCAAAGGCTGTATGGGAAAGACACGTTTGTATTGCGTTGTATTGTATTGTATCAGTACTAACTTTGACCTGTCCCTCTTGCACATCTTGTGACATTGTCTGTGTACTCTTTATATAATTTGTGTTTTAGAGCTTTAAAAATGGATATGCAATGTCAGTGCTTTCCAAACAATAATAGAATAAATGAGGTGGTACTGGTTACTGCAAACAGTGACACGTTGTTATAGGAGAACATGAGAAAAGCACAATTCGGAGCCTGAATGATAAGCAGTAGTGACACTCTCCCTCTGATCCACCTGCTATTTATTCATGCAAAAGAATACACACGGCTGTTGCACAAGCGAAGCGGGGGAAATGTTAGTATATTTATTTTTAATGTTTTGATATTTCCTGTGAAAAGGTGTTCCAGGTGGGTGTTCAAACAGGTTTCCTATAGCACAAGGGAGAGAGAGATTAAATTAAGATCTGCCTCACAAGCACACTTGTTTTACTATGCAGACTTGCTGTCAAGCTTGGTGAGTAGTCCAGCTGCCATTGCTTCAGATTATGGATTTGTTGGCAAATAAAAACCTGTGTGTCCATTCTCTGATCGAATTCTCTAACCAGTGACCCACTGGTCACTGTTTTAGGGTTTGTCTCACATTTACTTGTTTCTTTATTTTTTTTTCACAAAAACTTAAGGTCAAAATAGTTCTGAAATAAGAGTTTATGTTTTCTGGCCAGCCAAGCTAGTAAGAAATTTGTGCATTGATTCAGAAACCCACAACTTAATGAAGGTGATTCTAAGCTGGTGAACTGGTGTTTTTCATAGGTTTAATGTTATGTCCCCAAAAGAAACCCTCTTCAAAGGTACCGTACTTACAGCCCTCCGCAGGCAGACAGCCCAGGTTGCTGGGGAACTGCAGTACGGGAGCCTATTTCATGGAAAGGGGATCCCGACATGGCAGGATTGGTAATTATTTTTGTCTTGGAGAAAGAAAAGAGATGAACTTAGCTAAGAATATTTAAGTATGGGAAGGAAGGTAGTTTTTTTATGTGAACTAGATACAATGAGAAGACTTAAGACGGGGTCTTTGCTGATCTGAGAGTACCAAAATGAGAGAGAGATTTCTGTGCTTTCAATTCTTTGAAAAGATGTACAACAAAAATCACGCAGTTGTTAAAATACAGTCTGGATTTTCTTAGCAGAGAAAGTAAAGTTTATTTGAACGAGGCATGCCGTCTATAAACATAATTTTAGTTGCTTTTAAAATTTAAAAATGTTTTTTCTTTTTATAAATATGCTTATGAGATTTCCTCTTCGGAGGTGTTCAATACAATTGGCAGTGCAATTTTTTTTTTTAAATAGTATATTGCTGAATTCTGAAAACACAATATTCTACCAGGAATATTCATGATATATTCATGACATGTTCAGAGAATTTTCATCTGTTTCTCCTGCATTTTTTTTTTTTTTTACTAACATAGCAATGACATATCAAAGGCTAAAGTAGATAACATCCAAAGAGTGTGCTTTGCAGCATAGAATATATCTTACATACATTCCATTCTTAAAATACACTTTCAGCATTTAAAATTATCAAAAATGAAATTAAAGCAAAACATGTTAAAACCCTGATAAAAATTGGCACACAAAAAGAAATATCATGCACGTGGAATATTATGTGGTTTTTCTAGTGATTCTTTTTCTATTTATTCTTCATTCTTAGCATTCTCATAATTTCAAATAAAACATAAACATATGTATAGTATTGGTATATACTGTTACACAGTGCACATATTCTTTGCTTACCATATTTTTTACTGTATATGAGAGAAAGCTGGTAATCTTCAGCTGAGGTTAAAGATTGTCATATCAATATGATATAAAATTTTCATTTTGTAAGTTATACTCAAGGAATGTAATTATATGAATATTTTAAAATTTTAATGTGCAGTGATTATTCCAAGAATAGCCAAACTGGTTTAACATGCACTGACAGATGGTTAGTGGGCAAAGATGAATCCATGAATAACCTGACACTGTAATGAGCACTAAAATATCACATTTCAATGCACTTCGAAAATAACTGCAAATCATGTTAGCATTGTGTTTTGACAAAGGAGGTTTCTTTCTGTTGGCACATACTTAGTAAAACAAAGATATCTTAGGCCTACTATTTTTTAACTTGCAGAATTCAGTTGAGTATATTGCTAAAAATGGGTATTCTGCCACAGCACTAGTAATATTGGACGTTGAACAGCAACCAGATTCTACACTTCTCAGATTTAATTTATTATACAATTATTTGAAAGTCAGTTAAGTATTTTAATTTCTGAATATAGAAGCGAAGCTACTTCTGCAGCAAATATTCTGTTGCCAATGATATTTATTGACCAGTATTTCCATCTGTGCAGTTCTCTGTTGAAAATGAGTAAGAGAGAAACAGCTTCATTTACCTCAAATGAAAAAGGTCTTTATGCAAACATTGGCATTACCGTTGACATAGAAAAGAAAAAAGTGTATGAAATCTTATACACGTTTTTCACTTTACTACTGCATTTTATAAATAACAGAAAAACTTGCATAACAAACCTGAACCATTCAAACATATTATTGAATTGCTATGTACTAGGTATAATAAAATAATAATTCACTTATGCAAAATTCTCTGATTTTTGCAATGCAGGAAGACTCTAGTTTTGTGCTCTAATAGCATAAAGGCTCAGAGATAAGTATTCTCTATAATGGAGGGCTACTAAGATGTATATGGTTTGAACTGCCTTATGGAAATGTTTCTTATCCTCCTGCCTCAATCTTCATGGAACTGTACTCCACTTTTGGTTTCACAACACGTATTGTCATCAGGGCAACTTTACAACAACAACGCATGCACCAGCCCTTCCAATATTGACAGGAACTTCCTAAAGAAAAAAGAGAGGAAACATTTTTAGCATACTTTCACGGATAGGACTAGAAGTTACTTGTGGATTAAAAGGAGGGCGTTTTGTTTATCGGAACTAATGTACTGCTAGAAAGTAAAAAGTAGAATTTAAGTTAACTAGAACTCTGAAAATAGAATTTTTGCTTTTTGGAAAAAAGACTTCAGCAGCTGTTTAGAATTACAAGAATGCAGGCTAGCATTGTTGCTTTTAGCTATTGTAAAAGAAATTCATATCTTGTATTCCAAAAACATTGACTGTGCAGCTACAAAAGAATCTTGACAGTTTTCTCTTGATCTCAGTGGTGATGGTTCTAACTCCGAACAGACTTAAAAGTTCATCCAGGAGAGGGCATTGCTGGCAAAGGCATGCCAGCTCTAACAGGCTTGCAAAATTGAAGCACTTTAAGTTTTAAAAAGTGTATTTTGATTTCTTGTGGCTCACATTACTAAGCATGCAATCGTCATTTCATGCCAGAACAGAGAAAAGGCATTTTTAATTCTTTTTTTTTTTTTAACTGAAACTAATTTAAAAATCTATTTTAAGTGCAGTGTTACTGCTGACTGGCTACATCCGCTACACGTTTTCTGCCTTTATTGCTCAGTTTTCCTTTGAGCCTAACCTCTGTTTCTGAAGGCCCGGGACGTTTGGCTTGGCAGTGATTAGATGAGACACTGGCATTTTGCAGCTCCAGGCTGTGTGTTTAGCTGATGGAGAGAGGAAGCTGCTGCTTGCCCACTAACTCACCCCATCTCTCCGGTCATTGCACATAGCCTCTAGCCCCTCATTTACACATCAGAACTGGATGCATAAGTCTGAAAATGTGACTCCTCCATTACCAAATGGTTTGTATAACTTGATTTACTTACACATGCATTGTCTCCATCCTTTAGTCTGAAAACTTTTTTACAGTTTTTAAGTAGAATAGGTGATTTTACACATTTATGCATACTCTATTTTTATACACTGCGTACTATGGTATTACAACATTCTAATATAACATTTTTCAGAAGACTAGTACTAATTTTGCAACGTAATTATTATTGCTCTGTCTACTATTCAGATGGATTTCTTCTTATATGTAATTACCTCTGTCCATTCATTATTTTGAGCATCATAGGATTCCACAGTATCCAGGTATGTATGGCCATCATAGCCTCCAACAGCGTATAATCGGTCCCCTAGAGGGCAAATTCCAACAGCATCACGAGGTACACTTAAGGGTGCCACTGTTGTCCAAGCATCTGTTTTAGGATCATATCTAGGATGTTTAATGATCAAAATTAGAAAAATTCTTTGGAAAAACAGAAACACATTATGATATTTCGAATTTTAAAAACTTATATTTCCTCTTTGCTCCTGTATTGTAGTTCAGCCTACACCACAAACTAGTACAGAGAACTGAGTAACAGGATTAAAAATTTTATTTAGCCACCAGAGGGATCTTCAAGCTCATTTAAAATGCCCACATTTTCACATTACAGTCTCAGTTCTACCAGATTATACAATCAATATGTTTTGAACATAGATGAAGACTGATGGAATGACAATTTGACAGCAGATCAATCATCAAAGTTAAAGGAAATTTCAGTTTACTCTTTTTTCTTCATAACGATTTTTGTTTTCTATTTCTCATCCAAACTAAGGTTTTAAGTAAATTTCACTGTAAAAGAAGCTAACATATCTCATGTAGTTGATCAAAGTTGTAAGACAGTGCGTGGCAATATTTTATATCAGTGTTCATTTTACTCCAACGCTATGTATTCAGCCACACTCCAGTATAAATTCACATGAATTCCGCTGTAGTCCTAGGTTTACACCATCTAACTGCAAGCAAAACTTAACTGTTGTGTTATTCACCATAGGAAATTAAATGTTCTCCCAGTTTTCCTTTTTTATTCTCAAAACCACAGAAGAGTGAGTAGTCCTTGCACCAATAGGCTATTAAACAGCTGATGAGTTATCTTAGTCAACACATCCTCTTTTCCCCAGGGCTGGAGTATTCTCCCATCCCCCTACGTTGTACCACATGCCAGCACAGAAACAAAGCAGCATTTGTACACAATACCTGTATTTTTAAGAAGAAATGTCCAGTATTTGTATTTTCTTAAGAAACTATGCTCGTCAGTGGAGGACACACAAATGGGATTAAATAAGGATCAGACAAACTATATCTTCATTTTAAAAGGTAATTTCTTCTGGAAATGGATATAAAGCCAAGAGGTTTCTTATTTCTCCCCACTGTTCAAACTTGATGCAGGAGAATAAGTGCCGAGTTTTGCAAATTTGATTTTGGATTTGGATTTAAATGATGCACAAGCTTCTGCTAGGGCTACATTGCAAAATAATGAAGTAGGCAAGACAAAAAATTCTGGAAGAAAAATACTGACAAATGAAATGAGCACATTGTGATTTTGCTTTGGTTTCTCCCAGCTCTTCATGCTAGGAAATGGAAAGAAGAAAAATAACCTGATGTTTCAAAACATTTATTTTGCAAGTTGAATGACTGTTTAGAAAACATTCAAGTATATTTTTAAATTTAGAATTAAATCTTTGGGGTCTTATTGAATAAGAAGATTAAACTTATGGAAGTAGCAGGGGAAAAAAGACAGTTCCGCAGTTATAAATTTTAAAATTATCAGATCCTGAAGCAGTCCTGTGAAAGTCTGAAAGATGTCCATTAACCTACTAACTAAAGTGTTTCTGGCAACATGAAAAGTGCCTTCAAAGTACTTTTTCTAGACAAGGAGTATGGTTAGACCTTATAGTTTTCACTTCTTTTAGGGTACTCAATTTTGATGGTGCAATATTTCCTGGAATGTAAAATAATAATAATAAAAAAACCTTACCTTTCTACACAGTCGGAAAGTCGAGAACAGTGGTTGGAAGCAGGTGCATCGTGACCTCCCACTGCATATAAAAACCCATTGTATGTTGCAACGCCAACGCCTCCTCTTCTCTTTGACATTGAAGCGCATATGCTCCACTTGTTTGTGTGCGGGTCGAAACACTCCATGGATTTTAAGCAGGAACTCCCATCTCGTCCACCAACAGCATACAGTCTGGAATAGTTACCCACATGAAGATAAACTGAATTTCAGTCTTTAGCCTCTCATTTTAATAAGAATTTTATTTGCTTAACTTTATTCGAAACACTAGCATTCTCATTATGCCGAGTGTTCGCTATGTAAAGCTGTGCTCTGGAACTTTATTTGCACAAGTTTTGTGTAGTATACAAGGAAGTTATTTTCCTCATTTTGCAGGGCAAATTCTCAGTCAGTCACATAAGAAAAGATTAAAAATGCATATCAGTTTCTTTAAATGTGAGCTGTGGATGGAATTTAATTGACAAGTGCTAAACAAGTTTAAAACATAGGGATGATTTTCCCTATGACTTGCTTGTGGAGTACTTGGTGTTTTAGTGTGGCGTTCTTAGGCAATTTTCCTATGCTATTAACATGTAAAAGAACCATAATGAATTTCATAATATATCAAAACAATATTTAATATACTTTTGATGGTATTTCCTCAGTGTTTGTATCTGAGAAAATCTGCAGGACAAAAGTTATTTTACAGGTATGTCATGTCATGCTATGCCATGTCATGTCATCTTTTCTGCAGTTCAACCTAAAGGCACTTAGATACAAGTGCAGTTCTTTCTCAGCTGGATGTTATGCTTGTAGTGTGTGGCAGGTGCTAGAACCTGAATTTAAGTGATCTAGCTGGGGTTCAAACCAGCTGGTGTTGGGAAAATGTGTTATAATAAATGGTGAAAATCCATGTTAAGGACCCTGGGGTTTTGTGTGGCTTTTTGCCAATGAATTTTACAAAGCCGGAATTTCTTTTGTATTTCAAGCTATCTTGATGCTGTTAGAGTATGTATACAGGATCTAATAGCAAAACAACTTTAGATGTTGAGTGTCAATTTTTCCTGTGTCTTTCAGACCCTTGCTGTTACTTACTGCTATGAAATTGAATTTACCTAGTGCAGCTAATTAGATATTAGGGAACAACTCATTTTGTCCAGAGTAAGATACCCAAAATGGAGCAGAAGGATTGTGCTTGAGAGGCACCTGTTTTTCTCCTGTGACTAGAAGAGTTTTCAGATCCCTCTAATATATAATTTAACAAGAAAAATCTCAGCCAATGTGAGAGTAATACAAATTTCTAGTAATACAAGATTTCTGTTTTATAGTCTGCCTTTTAATGTTTGTGAATTGGAGATAGATTTGAGCTTTGTTGTGCAATTTGTTGCTTAGCCCATACAAAGCTTGAGTATTTGTTTTGTTTTCTTTTCTCCTCTTGCTCTTAGCTATAGTCTACTTGTTTACACAGCTTTCACGGGAAGAGGATATAACTGAGTATGTGAGCAGATTGGATGGGGGTTCTTTGTTTTCCACCATGTACCTAGAAACATGGCAGAGTCATCTAAAAACATATTTTTCCATTCTCCAAGGAAAAAAACAAATATACCCTTACTGACTGACGTTTTCATTAGGTTTTTCATCGTTCAAAAAGCATTGTTACCATTTAAACTGAAAGAATTTTCTGGTGGGATTGAATAACAATTCTAATTTCAGTAGTGCTACTGTAAAAAACGTAGTGTGACTTAGGGAAACAGGAAAAGTAGAAGCATGCACCTAGGTTAGCCCACAGCAGTAATGCTGAATGAAGGACATTTGATCTCAGCTTCCCCCGTTATGCCAGAGATTACATCACAAAACTAACAGACATGATTTCAGTCAGGTCGGAGACAGCCTGTATCAGGAGCAACTGAGACCAGAGTCAGGATCGGGCTGGATTTCCTCCTTGACAAAGTGGTTTCCTGCATGTCACTGTGGAAGATACTAACAGGAGTTTCTGGTGAAGGTTATGCTGAGACCATTTCCTCTGAGATACAACAGGGACTTGAACAGACAGTTCTTCCCTCAAACTTCAGACTTACTGATTAAAATCATGTGATGTATGAATGCAATATCCTGATTTGTATGCAAGGAATTTTTACATCTGCAAATATCTGTCTGTTGGCATCATTTTTACTGCTGCATTATCCTCCTCCTTCATAACCCGGTGGAATTTAAGAAGTGAACCGGGAAGCCTGTGATAAGGTTTCAGGCCAGATGCAGTCCTCTGCCTACAACTGTCCGTATCCCTCCTAGCCCCTACAAACTGTCATTGCCAAGAGGCTTCCACAGAGTTAAATAAGAAGGTGATTTGGCCCAGGCCATGTCACCAACATAGCTGGATCATTTTACCAGGCTCTTGTATTTCCAGGACCAAACTGTCTTGCTGAACAAGGGGAACAGAATTCTGTCAAGCATTAATTTACGAATTGCTCTTCCTCATGCTGAAATACAGCAGTTACCAAATAGGAACATAAAATAAGGTGTAACACACCTTATTTTCCAGGTAAAATACAGCTTGCACACTAGATTCAAACATATGTCTGTTCCCATATAAAGACTCTAGGTGGTTTTAGTGTCTTAGGAGGATGCTTAAGTTTTAAAAATCTTGTCTGGAAACAATTTACAGTGTACATGACCTCAGTTTATTTAAGGGGTAGATGAAGGGTAGAATAAAATTGATCTGGATAACACTTAGAGAAGGCTGTTTATTCCATGCCTGAATATTAAATTTGCCTGCTTTTAATTGAACATACCATATATAGTCTGGCTTTTAAAAATTATTCTTGACTATGAACTTGTCAAGGCTGTAGATGCATGCAGAAGGATGCAGAATGACAGAAGCATGTTTCTATAGAAGAAGTTCTTTCAAATTGTGCTTCCTTAGGCATATTGATTTAAAAATGTAAAAGTAAACTTAGAACACTTTAAAAAGAAGTTGATCTAAGTCTCCCTAAGTTACATTCCATGTAAAATTCTTACACGCGTGTTAGAATATTTCTAAATTTCTAAACTGACTGCAAATTTGAGAACAACTTACCACACGACAGAGTAAAAGCTTTTCTTTCTTATTTTTGCACATTACAATTTCTGTTTATTTTCTTGAGGTGATTAATTACTATATGATTGAAAAGAATATTTTAAGAAGTATATGGCCATCTAAACAAAAGTAAGCAAGCAAGGAAGAAAATGAAAAGCAAACAAGTTTTTCCTGTTCACATACTTGCTATTTAACGCTGCAACCCCCACAGTGCTTCTTGGAGTTGACATGCTAGCAACATAATTCCACTGACGTGCTTGGGGATCCCATCTTTCCACTGTATTAAGGTAACTCCATCCATCATGGCCACCAACTGCATACATTGGTCCTTCAAGCATTGCTACTCCTTAAAAGATGGAATTAATGACAAATTGCAGTATCTAATAATTTCAGTGACTGATAATGTATTAACTTCATGCTTTAATTCCCTGTATACAGATAAGCAATTTCAGCTGATATTAAAGTATCTCAAAGCTGCCTTGTCATTGGGCAGGATAAACATACCTACACAAAGTACTTCACATACAGCATTTTTCTGAATAAGCATTATCTTTTGCCAAAAGATCAGAGGAAATCTGCTTTATTTGTGAAGTTCTCTTTTTGGGTGTTTATCTGTTCTGTTGACCCTGTTCTTAATCAAATTTGAGCCCCTACATGTGAAACAATGCTATTCTTTTAACAAAAAGCAAAGTTTGAGCTAGGCAATGAAAATATTTGTCCAAAGCAGCTCTCTAATCCTGTGCTCTGATCTAGCTGAAACTCTGTAGTCACGCCAGCATGAAGCCTAAACTGAGTGGGTTGCTGTCCTTATTTGTGAAAGTACCATAACGTTTTAATGCCTGTAAAGGGAGCACACTTTAGGATAAGAACTGACCTGTATCTGTTCTTGTGCCTCCCATTTTGTGAGCTGCTGCTGCCCCTTTTGTTGTTTACTAGCTTTGTTAGTACGGCAAAATGTGTGAATCTGGCGGCTTAAAGGTTAGTTTTCTAAGTCTCTCCTTTCAAGCCTAAATAGCCTGATTTTTTTTTTCAAAAGTGCTAACCCCCCACCCCAAACTCACACTGAAACTAACAGGAGCCACTAACAGGTGGTGTAAGGCAGCTTTGCAGATCAGGTTGATACAAAGTTAGAAGCCTAACTTTGGGCACTTAAATTACGACCTACTTGTTCGGTAGAATTTTGCCTCTGCAGTTGGTAATCCTACAAACTTGGATAAGAATTAATTGATTATTTTATTTTTGTTTAGTCTTTTCCTTTACTACTTCTGTTTGTTTTTACAAATTTGACAGGCTAACAGCTAAAAATCCTACACTACTTTTTTAAATAAGACCTAGCGGTGGCAGCAGGTAGACCACAAACCAAGCTTTCCTGAATAACTCTCCATCTGTGTTTTTATATTATTCATTAAAATAAATATATTCTACATCCTTTAAACTTACAAATGATTTCATTTAATAGCTTTTCTATAAGCATAAGAGAAGCCAGCCTTTTTCATAGCACCTATACTATATAAATATACTATATAAATAATTCAGAAATCGTCATAATCCCACTTATATGGTCTCCCAACTTTAAACTTTTCTTCATTTTTTGTAGTTCCAAAAATAAACTCTTGATTTCATATTCATATTGTTTTTCCACTGTGAACAGTATTAATGATTATAGGGCAGTATAGATTCATAGGTAATAAGCTATGGCAGAGCTCTGTGAAATTTCTTGTAATGGTAACATGAAAATTAGCAAAAGTGTACTTATTCCCTTACAGCAATCTTTTCTTCAGTGTCAGTTATTCTATGATCTGATTTTCAGAGGTGTTAGATGGATACATAAGTCATCTTTTTCAAAAATGGAAGATCAGGCTGTTACTCTCTTGGAAACATATCTCTTGACCAGCAAATTAGATTTAGAGTTGATTATTTTCTCTGCTGCTTATATTTTGCAATTCGTTAACGGTAAAATTAGCTCTGGAAGGCTAATGCAACGGTTAGGTGACCGTTAATAAATATCAGCTCTCTCTTGGAAAATATTTCTATAGATGTTGTTGCATGTTATTAAATGCTTTAAAAATGTAATATCAGCAGCGTTTGTGTCAATCAAAATTAAACTGTACGTGATACAATGTATTTTCAAAGAAAAAGCACCTCTTACCAAGACCATGTCTGTGCGTTGACATAGGAGGCATTATAGTCCAAACTTTCGTGATAGGGTTGAAACATTCAACAATATTAGAAGTTTTCAGACCATCTCTGCCCCCCACAATATAGAGTTTGTTGTCAATTACTGCAACTCCAAACTGTAATCGTCTACCGTTCATGGTGCCAATTTGTATCCAACTATTAGTCCTAAGGTCGTATTTTTCTATTGTAGTGGTGCCTGTTAAAATACAATTATCAAAAGTTAAAAAATATGAGATAGCTGTGAACTGATCAGAGCCCAGCAGTAAGTAGTTGGTCCACCCCAAAACATTATTAAACTGTAAAACACAAATTGTGGACTTTTATTGTTGCTCCTTGAGAATTTCAGTTACAAAGTGTGAGCCTAGTGAGACTGGCAAACATATGAGAATAAACTAAGGGCAAGAATATGCAGAATTAGATGTCAACAGATTTTTTAACGCTGAAAATTTTGGAGATAAGTTAAATCTGTTATTTGTTTTTTATTCTTTATGAATACAGTACATCACAGCTCAGTACTCCTTAACCATGTTTGTGCTTAAACCATGAGCACCATCAAAACCTAAAAAGATATCAATGTGTCTGTCTGACTTAGGACGTGAGTTGCATCCTCCTAAAAAGTTTTGATGCTTTCCTTTCTATGACGGAGACAGGGAGAAGGCTGAGCTGCATGCAGGTATACAGCTGCCTCGCACAGGCAGCTTCCCTGAGGTTTATCTTTGCAGAGCCCTTGCAATAGCTATTTCTCTGCTGCAATATATAAGCTGTATTTTCAATTTTTTTATGTCACTGAGCTTTTAGTAATGTTTTTACTACAACTATCCATATGGCTCATGCCATAACTCCCTGCCATTCAAAACTAGGACTTTTCCATGCACTGGCTCCTGTCAGTCACTCAACAGCAGCAATTGCTCCTGTGAGAGCTGATTTAGCGCAGCGGGGAGGTGGCTGACTAACAACCAGGTAGGCAGGAGGCAGTTGCCACTGGCGTATATAGTGCAGCCTGTGGCATGGCTTCAGTTTGACTGAAGGCACCCAGATGAGAAAAATAGAGCTTATTTCCTGCCTGTTCCTTAACTGGAATTTGAAAACAGAGAAGTAGCATTTTCAGTACTACAAAAGGCAGTTAGCGAGTAAGGAATTGCTCATGACAGCAGAACAACCATGCAACGAAACAGAAAAGAAAGGTACTGTTTGCTTTGGAGATATTTTCCCAAGTAGAGTCTGAAATAGGTCATCTGCTATACTTAATAAATTTACTGAAATAAGAACTTTACTTATGATTTCTTGTTTTCTGTTTCTTACCTACATGCCTTTCTAAATGTATTGACTGAGAAGTAAGCTACCTGATCCGCCAGCAATAAGAGGAAGAAATTCTACTTTTCCCCCTCTCCTATCTTCTTTTCTTCTGAGCAGCTGGATTTCTTTTGTTCTTTCCATGTGGTTAGTCTGTTTGCTATTCTTTGCTTTGATTCCTTCTAATTTATTTTATGCTAGCGTATGAGTTTCTCAAAATTCTCAGCTTCAAAAGAAGTATTTCATGTACTAATGGAAAAACAGGAAAAATGCATTAAGGTGGATAGTGTGTTCATACCCTGTGGGTTGTAATTTTTACAGGGGCTTGAAAGTAGGTTTTTAAATTTAATGTGATTTAGGAACATGCACATTTTTCAAAACACTAGATCAGAAGTGGTTCTTTGATCTTCTTTTGATCATTCTAACTTGAGCTTTGACTTCACGTACCACCTGAGATAAGCATAAAACCCAGCTTGGCACTGTTTGAGAGTTCGAGTTTTCTTTATCGCATAAAGCATGTAAAGCACAGTATTGCCAGAGGTGGTAGTTACTCCCTGCACAGGGCTGTTCTTCCAGGGCCTCGTAGTTTCTTAGGTGGTGTTGCTTATCTTACAATCCAGCACAGGCTCAAGGTATGAGTCAGAGATGTAACTGGGTGAGTCAGATATGTAACAGGACAGCAGGAAGGAGAGGAAGTGCTGTTCTTCTTCAGCATCAAAAGGCAAAAGTTCAAACAATTGGCTTTATTCCAAGGTAATAAGTAAAAGAGGCACAAAGAGGAAGCCCAGATGTTCACTGAAATAGCTCTTTTCTGTATAACTGAGAAAATGAACTAGGAAATTTTATTATTATTTTGGTAATAATTAGTTTAAGGATAAACTTCTAGTTCTTCTGCATAAAGGTAGCAGTTCAAGATTTCTCCTGTAGGAAACATCAGTCACCAGTAACATTTTGGAAAACATGAAATAGATTAACTTCTTTGTGATTCTATGAATACTGAACTCCCAGAGCTAAACTGTAATACAGTTCATCAAGACATTAGACTTTAAAATAATTACATTTGTTTGTATCGCACCAGGCTGTGGATCTGAGGTTAAGGTTCAGGTAGAAAATTAGTTAACATCCTGCTCACTATATAAAATAGTGTAATTTGTAAAAGTGTTATTTAGATCTCTATTTCTCTTTTTATATCTGTTTATAACTTATAAAAATGCTATCAGATTATAAAAACAAAAATAATGTCCATAAAATTACTACAAAGTGTAAAAAAAGGAAGTGTTTGGGGGCATTTCACTTACTATGTTTGTCTGCATGTAATTCTGAAACTAGTTGCAGTTGTGAAAATCAAATCATAAAAACTGACATGCATTTATAACATTTAACTTTTAACTACAAACCTGAAAAAAAAGTATATGCAGTACTGAAAATAGGTGCGCATACTGCTACAGTCATGAAAAAGTGAAAATCTTGCCTGAAATTTTATATTAAGGTTCGATAAGCTTTAGCTAAGACTTTCTAAAAGGTCATTAGTGCTTTTTGATTTTGTTTCCCTCCTCTTTCAAAATGTTCCAGCCTCCTAGCTGTTATCCAAACATGGGGTACAGGGTTCTAAAATGACAGTAAAAGTGTCTTGAAGTATTCCAAGTATTTTTCCTTCTAATGTTTAATGTTGAACTGAACGGATTTTTAAAATTGGATTGAATTAAACAAATTTCCAAACTCACCTTTAGTGGCATCCATACCTCCTACAGCATAAAGTGAACCTACTGTCGACTTTCTAGGCTTAGTTCGAGGACTCTGCATCATGGACCGTCTCTCTGGTAGGAGATGGTACTTCATAGCCTCCATAAGAAGTTTCTGACACTCTAGGTCATCTGCAAACATTGGACTATTTTCTAGATCGGCTAGTAACTAAGAAATGAAAAGAAAATGTATTGTTTACATTTAGATCTTTAAAAGTTGTATGCGTTTTAGTCATTAAAGCATTTTTAGCTAGAGACACTCATTTTCAGTTCACTTTTCACCTTACGTTTGCTGTAAATTTTGTTTTGATACAAGTGAAATAGCATGAAGGTGAGAAAAAAAGTCTTTAAATATTATCTCTTAGCTTTATTTTTTGTGAAAAGTCTGTTCTACCCTTTAGAAAAGGTTAAAATTACAAACATAACATTGTTCTTTTTGAAGCTAAATGGAAATCTTTTTACATTAGTATAAGCAAATCTAATACATAATACTGAACATCTCTGCTAATATCAGAATGTATTAAATGAAGTGTGTATTTAAAATGAAATATGTCCAACATTTTGGTACTTAACCCACAGTTATATACGCAATGCTGCTTCATTCATAGAGTCCCATAAAGTAGTTGTAGTGTCTTGACAGTGTTGCTATTTGTGTAAGCATTTCAGATGAGATACACAGATCTAGTATCACACAGATATGACAATATCAATTTACTGTAAAACTGTATATCTGTCTCTGGAAAGATGTGTATCTGATATTGAAAGAATATTGAAAGTGCCTCTTTCAATATTAAAGGACATGTAATGCCAATACTCAGAACAGTCAGGAATAACCTAGATAATGCTGGTTTTATCTACTTTTATGGTGATAAAGTCATGACTTTTTAAGTATTGTGCCTCATACATCTTGTTAGCTTGCTAAGACTAAATCAATGTATTTGCATAGTATCTAAGTTTCTTTAGTACTGGAGGAGAAAATGCTACCCACCAAAGAAACACTTTACACTTTTGAGACACTGTTAAACTGATAGTTTTATAGAAGTAAATCTGAACCCAGTAACTACAGAGTCATTGTGGAATTTTTTTAAATTCATTTTTACAAATAATAAACATATTTACTACACAGTTTGCAAAATAGTTTTTAAAAAGCTCCAAACGAAAACTTTTATAAAGAAATTTGTTCTCTACCTAAATAGTGCTTGAGGCAAGCATTTCTCTTAGTAGTCGAGTTCCCTGTTAACTATTCACTTGCATACCTGGGGCGGAAGTAGAGGCAGTCTAATATAAGAAAGAAGCATGCCTAGGTCTCGTTGCCTGTTTTGCAAATCGTGCCTCACCCACATCATTAACGCCTGAAATATGGCTTCTTCATCTGGAACATTGATGTCATCACTAGACAGGAGCTTTGCAATTTCATTAGCAGGAAGTAAAAGAAATTCCTGGTTTTTTATTACTTCTGTGAAGTGTTCCTGGAAAGAAAAAGGTTTAAATTCACTCATGATTTTCACACCTTGAAATAACATTTTCTTAGATAACGTAGGCTTTTCTGCATTTCTTTTCCATTCCAGAGGATAGGCAAAGGCAATACATATTCTAAAGATTACTGAATATAATCTGGCTGGCTTCTTTCATTTATTCAAGCATAAACCTGAAAGGTTATTTCTTAAAAAAAAAAAACTATTAAAAGAGAAAGAAATATGTTTAAATGGAAAATACAAATGAGGTTCAGATGGTATATCATGTAGAGCATTTCTGAGATTGTCCATTAACCTTTCCTATCTGGTATATAGAGACAATTTATGGTTAGGTGTGCTTCGCTCTTCTTTAAAAATAGTACGCATTCTTTCATGGAAGAATTAATTTTATTTAAACCCTTACTCGTTGATGCCAGGGATTTGCGGTAGCCATAAACCTGAAAGGTTATTTCTTAAAAAAAAAAAAAACTATTAAAAGAGAAAGAAATATGTTTAAATGGAAAATACAAATGAGGTTCAGATGGTATATCATGTAGAGCATTTCTGAGATTGTCCATTAACCTTTCCTATCTGGTATATAGAGACAATTTATGGTTAGGTGTGCTTCGCTCTTCTTTAAAAATAGTACGCATTCTTTCATGGAAGAATTAATTTTATTTAAACCCTTACTCGTTGATGCCAGGGATTTGCGGTAGCAGAGAATGTCTGCAGTACAGAGTAGGCCCCTGGATGTTTCCCATAAATGGGTGGGTGTTATTTGTCTGGGTTAACACAGAATTTTAGACTTTTCCTTAGTTTCAGATTTTGATATCTGAAATAGCAGCAGACTGACTTTAGTCTATCCCTAGACTTTCCTTTCAATTGACAGCTCCTCAGCTCCTTGCAAAAGCTCTCACTTTTATGTGAGCAGGAACTCACCAAAGGATCACGTATAGCATGTTTTCCCATTTATATTCAAGAGCTTTTAAGAAAATGTAAACAGCTCTGTGATACATCTTTTAAGTGACAAACATGAAGATTAGGGTTGGCCTAAAACCTCGTGGGAGTCACTTTTCTACAACAGTACTAAGTAAAAGTGTTTGTCACTGTTGCAGTGATCCAGCCTTGATACATCACTGCAGAGCACAGGAAATAACAGTCGTTTCTGTAGTCAATGTTTTCAAGGGAACGCATTCAAGAACAGAGGAAAGTTTCAGAGGAAAAAGTGGGGAGGGAATGCAGACAAAATCTCATTCACAGAAATCTTAAGACCTTCTTCTGACGAGCCTACTACTTCCAGGCAGGATTCAGGAACGAAAATACTATGGGTTGGTGTTTTCCGAGAAATACTTTGGAATATCTTCAAATTGTGCTTCAAAGAAGTAAAATTACAACTATTTTTGTACTTTTGTAAACTATATATGAAACTACTAACAAGGTAGACTAGTACTGTGTTGATCAGTAAGAGAGGCTACAAGACAAGCAATAATGGTGAATTTATTGTTCACTTTTTAAAGATCTTTAAGCTTTTTAAAGATTATTTTATACTGTCTAGTGTAGTAAATGTTTGTGGCTTAGGACAATTAGCTACAATTATTTCCTGTTTTCATGAGTAGTGAACACAGAAAATGAACTATTTGTCCTTGCCTAATTTCCATTCAAGTTAGTGTATTTGATGTTAATAATAGTACCCCTCATTTATTAATTTAGAGGAAAACATTTCATATGTCTGATTTATAGCCTTCCTGTAGAAACTGACAAAATAAAAATCTCCATTGTACAGTGAATCCATGTGTGACTTGTATACAAGTTTGTACAAAGCTTCACTGTCTGCTTCGATACTGTAAGAAGGTTCTCTTAACTGATCTGGGAATGGTGAACTGCAATGCATTCTGCTTTATTTTCTCTTTCCCTAGACTGGGGTATGCTATGCTGGCCAAAGGAAGACTGGGAATACGTGATTTATAATTGTCTCTCTAGCTTTACATCGCCCGAGATTTATGGCCACTTGGGAAATCCCATCTACCATTTAAGGGAGATTTTCATTGTTCTTTGCTTCCTTAGTATTGCGGGACTGAAGAACAATGATCATCTTCACATTAACCTACTTGCACATGTATTTGTCAATATGTCACGTCTCAGGGATTAGCCACTGGCAGTTTTATCCATCAGTGCAATCTTAAGACTGCAGCATAAGAGAAACTCAATTTGAAGATAAAAAGTATGTCCTAAGAATGCCAAGTGGACATTCAAATGAACTGTATAAATTATGTCATTGTCAGATTCCACAGTCTTAAACAAATTAGATTCAAACCTTGGAATTCTTTTGCAATAATTCTGCCAAGTATTGACTGTATGTCTCCACTAACAGTAGCAGAAAATATAGCAAGGGAAATTAAACTCACTTTTCTAACAGTATTTCTAACAGTATTTTTTTGGCAATAGTAAGGTTTGCTTCCTTGTGCTAATAATTCCAAAAGAAAAAAGTTTCATTAACAAAGCTGCTTTTATCATTTATTTGCAAAGCAGTGTATTTAGGTATATATGTCTGTATTTGAAATATTATTTTCCATCTACATACCTAAAAGTAATATATCTTACTTGAATATATCAGATTGAAATAGGTCAGCTAAAGACATTTTAGTGACTGATATTTGTATTACTTGTTTTCAGCAGTCAATCTTAACTTTCTGTAACTCTTTTCAAGAGTACCATGGATATAAATATAGAATTATCAGTGATTGAAGGAGATGTTAGTTATGCTCTGTGATGTATATCCTGCTTTAATATTTTGTGACATCCAGAGAATAGGAACAGGAAGGCCAGTTCACATTTGGTTGCAAATATAGCACAAGATGTTTATCAGAACAGGCTTTATCTGCATGAAAAGATACTAGGCAGGAAACCGTTAATAGTTTGCATCAATGACTAAAGTAATTGAATGGGAAGGTGGCCAATGTGTTTGTTTTTATTGAATGAATATGTTGTTTACAGTTGATTATCTTCTGCAAATGTTTAAACACTACTAGTTCATTTGTACGGTCTCTATATTTACAGTACGACATTATAGTTGTTCCTCTAAGGTGCACATTTTCAAGTGGTTGAGCTTAACATGAAACAAAACAGAATGTTTTATCAGAATGTTTTATCAGAATGTTTTAACAGAATGTTGCATGCATTGTTACGATCTCTTATTCTCTAAAGTCTTTTGAAAAATCAGTTCAGGAATTTTTAAAAAATTGCTTTAAAGTTATTTCAAAGAGGTGTAGATTTCCTTTTCTGGGTTTAAACTGTGAGTACCTGAAAACTTGGTAGATGGCTTTACAGTGTGCAAGCTCCTGCTCTTCCATTGCAACATCATCACTCTGTTGCATGCAAGGTACAGCAGTTGGATCTAGAGGTGGAAGTGCTCCTACTTGTTTTCAGGAAGGCTAGCGTAAAGATACGTACATTTTACAGTGTTTTTAAAGGCCCAGTATGCATTTATATGTGACAAACAGATATGGTTTTCACTTTAAAAATAGTCAAAATCTAAGTCTTGGGGAAGAAGTTGTGGGGGATTCAAATGGCTAAAAAATTTAACCACAGAAGTCCCTTCATTGTTTAGTGTTGATAATCACATTATTTTATTTGTTTTGTAGAAGTCTGGACTGTGAATTTTAAATGGTAAGAGCTGATGTCTGAGTGCTTGGGCTGATGACACTGGGAGAAAAGAGACAATAAGAGGGAAAGCTCCTGTTATTGGCTTAGTGTATAAAACTGTGTGGAAAAGGAAGGACAATGATACTATGCAGAGGCTGAACCTCTATCTTAAATGCCAATTTTCAAACTTTCAAATATAAAAGGAATCTAGACTACTGCTAAACAAACCATTCATTAGCATGACAGGCAGGAGCACAAAGAGCGCCCTCGGCCGGCACATAAGCGTGCAATCTACTGCGGGAATTCCCGGGAATTCTCGCAGCGTTAGGAAGCCTCTAAAGTGCTTTTGACATACTGCGCTTATATTTCAAGCTTAAAGCTACCATGTGTCTCCTCATAAGTGGCTCTTTTTTTAAATCTATTTAGCTGTAGCAATTGCTCTTCTTTTTGTGTTTAAAGTTGTTACAGCGCGTCTTGTTGCACTGAATATTTATCCCTTGATTTGGTTTCACAGCAAGCTATCTCGCTTCTCTGTTTCCCACAGGCTGAATATTCATTTCTTGCTTTGAGCCAGAGGAGGATTACGCTCAAGTCAGGGATGTGCTTCTTTTCAGTTTTCCAAATATTTCCTATACGCCCTTTATTGTAGCTGTTTTTTTGTGAGCCTCACCTTAAAATCAGCTTTAGAATTTTCTTTGTGTTGAATCAAAAACAGCAAGAATGAGGCATTGGTGGTTTTTTTCTTGACATTAGTCAGTTTAAGGCCCTATTACATTTTTTGGAAGAAATGTGTACAGATTATATTGCACATCTAAATTCAATACTTATCCCCTTCTACAAGGCACAATTTCAAAAGAGGGAAAATGGAGCTGAATATTTGATTTTCTAGTGTGCTTTTCTCTGCTTCTAATACTTTAGAATCAGTCACAGTTCTTAAATTTCCTCTTGGAGAATAAGCTGGACACATGTCTCCTGGGGTTACTGACTGTGCAGATCCCACACTGCCAGCCACTGTGTCAGTCTGGGGAGCGCAGCACTCATAGCCCAGCTCAGCTGACTCTGCCTCACCAAAGCCCAGATGTTTTCAAGGAAAGTATTTACACCTGCTGTTAGCATTATAATTTCAAAGCAGTTGGATTATTCATCTTACCATAGTGTATGTATGTGCCACCTTCAGGAGCTCTGTGCAGCCCTGAGCATCTCCGAAAGAGCGAATCCCTAGGCAGTTTGAAGGATGGAGCTGCTTCATCAGGAAGTTACAACATACCTCAATGACCTGAGATAGCTGGAGAAGACAAGCTGCAGCTAGCAAACTTTCTATAGTGTCTTCCTTTAACTCTAGAATACCTGTGCAGTTTGTACAGAGAAAAAATACAGGTTCTCAGTCATTATCTTTGTATCTGCATTTACTTGAAATCTTCCCACTCCCCAATGTTTTCTTCCTCTGAAAAAAAAAAAACTTAAAAGAATGTTCCTGTAATTCATAAATTCATTTTCTTTTTTTGATGAAGAGTATATGATGAATCTTTAAACAGATTTTTTTTTTAACAGGCTTACATGTTTGGTAGATTTTGAATATCGTCACTGGAACATTTTTTATTGGAACTCAAATACTGTTAGATCTGATTTGGCTTAGAAAAGTGAAATGAGGAGGAAGATATGATTAGGTGAAACCCTTTCACAAAATTCATATATGAATTTAAATATATTTATATATATATCATAAACTTCAGTATCAGAAGCTAGGAAATGCCAACAGTCAGCATACACAGGAAAATTGATTTCTTCTGTCTTCTCTACTTGTGCATCTGAATTTTTAATGAAATGATTATAAGATGTGAGAACTTCGTAATGTTCATTGGATAGACTAGAAGGTGTTCGTTTAATGAGATCTTCCATCTTAGTTGTTTGGTGTATAGCTTAATTCCCCAGTTGATACACAGCATTAAAATCCTGTTCTGAAAAAAGAACTGTATTTTTTTTTTATGAATGCATTTTACAAGTAGGTAAATAGTCACAATACCCAAATGCCTCAGAAGCATTAATTTATTTTCCAGCTTCCTCTGTGAACAGATGATATATACCATCTCTATTTAACAGATGGAGAGTTGTGATATGGAGAGATTACGATCAAAATTATCATCAGAGAGCACTCTAAGAGACTTCTTGCCCAAAGTCCACTTCTGATTTATTTCCATAGAATATGTAAACAGTTCTCAAAGTTATAGCTCTCATCTCCTCTGAAAGTCGCATTTGTATTTCATTACCCAGAAAAAAGTAACATCCACTTAAGAGGCTTGGGTACAGTCACATGAAAACCTGTGACAGTGGGAAAATCCAGTTTTCCAGAGTTCAGCAGTCTTAACTTACAACAACCCCGTTTGCTTCATACCTTATATAGTAAATAAACAAACTGAAAGAGCAGAAATTTCGTCAAGTAAGATGATTTTGACATACATACAGATAGTAAGTAGCCCACTACCCAGCTTCATTGTGCTTGTACTAATCCATTTCCTTGGGTAATATATGCTAATTCAGTGCCATAATATGACTGCTTTACAGATGTTATGCAACGTTCCCTCAAGCCTGTGATTATCCCTTTGTTTGTACCCACAAACACAAAAGGAGTCTATTTTGTCTGTAGAAACTTGTGTTTCCAATCTGATTCGCAGATCGCTTGTCTTTCTGGAGATTTATCTCTTTATGCAGTAGACTAGCTATTTGAAGTGCCTTACTTAGTAAGTGAAGGGGATCTTCTATTTTTGACATTTTTGCTAATACCAATACAGTAAATATATTGGGTCTTTGATTTCTTTTTATACTAACCATTTTTAAATTACTATAAAGACATAAAAAGATACCTATGATACTTCTTTCAGTCTCTCTGTCTCAGCACGGATGTTGTGGAGAGTTGTTTCATTTCAAAAGCCAAGCAAGCAAGCAATGTCCTGCATGGGACATCAGATGGTGAGGGATCTAGCGAATGTTACTGGTATTAGACATTAACTGAGCAGATGGATCAGCTTACCTAGCAAATGTTCATAAATGCAGAAGGTTGTTATGCTGGTTAATTAGGAATTGTTACATTCTGGAGGAGCAATTCCCTCCTTGCGAGATGTAGGCGTTTTTACAGAACTGCATAGTTTGGTGGGGGGAAGGGGGTTTCTCTTTTACTTTTCTGGCTAGCGTAACTGCCATCTGGCTAGAGCAGCTTGCCAAACACCAGAACCTGCACGCTTCCAGAATCTGCATAGGTTTGAATGATCTGGGTATTTTTAATTGCAATATATACAATATATATATTGCAATATATAACAGCTATGTTCTGCAGTATTTCTCTCTGCTCATTACAGAGCAGCTGAAAGGCGTTTTGGAGTTCTCTGATTTGGTCTTTTTGGCTATTAGTTCAAGTGTTAAGCGATCCAGCAAACATGGGGGTAAATTTTGAAAAAGAAAGAAAAGAAATTGAGGAAAATATATAGACATTATTTTTTGGTATTAAGATAAAATATTTTAATTTCATTAAGATAAAGTCTCTATAATTTTTAGAGAGCACTGAGTAAACACATTTAAAATGTAATGGCATTTTCTCATCGTAAAAGTTGTTCTGTTCTTAGGTTTGATCATATTTCTGCCACCCTGCCAAAACATTTCTACGGCTATTCACGACAGGAAAGTTCATAATACCCTTCTCTCTTTCACTACACAAGGTGAGCAGCAAGCAAAATGTCTTATTCCCTCTTTAAAATTGCTAAAATAATTTTTATCTAGTTAGAGAAAGATGATGTCCTAATAATAAATTTATATGTTTATATTTCTTTATATCTTCTACAATAAGTTATTGGAGCATCAGGTATCTGTTATTATCGGCCTTCAAAATAAGGATTGTTTTATCAGAACAGTAATATTTATTTATCATATTTAGAGAAAGCTATACATTAACTATGCATATGATCTCTGCCTATGTTTATGTAATAGTATGAAATGGAAGAAGTGAAAATTACGTATGCATTTAATAGGTTTTTATCTTCCTTTACAAAACTGATGAGGTAAGGGAGGAAGAATTACCTGTGTAGGCGTAGTGCACCAAAGCTTTCAGAGCATCTGGGTCTACACCCTCCATTTTGATTTCTTCTTGTTTTGCTTCACGCACATCATTTGTAAACATTGCAGCAAAATAATCAGACACTGCACTGAGAACCAACCTTGAAAGAGAAGCATTTTAGGAGGGATACAAATTACTTCACAATCTCAACAGCAAGCGTGAAATTCAGTATTATTATATAATAAATTGTGTGTGTAATAGAAACATTATCTTCAGTATAGGACTTGAATCTTACAGCAGTGAGCAATAAAGTTAAAGGGTAATTAGTAATCTAATTTTCAGAGCGCTTGTTTATGCAGTTTTGCTTTAGTGGTGTCTACAGTTTGACAGCAGCAAGAAGACAGGACAGGCTGTATCATTGGTTCGAAGCTGGGTTTCTTTCTACCTGAAATAATGAATATGAAACTCTGGTCACATCATTTTATTCTGTTAGTTGACGTGCTAATTATAGTAACCATTCATTCATAACTAGACAGGACAAGCATAAATTATCTTCACATTTGGAAATTTCAGGCTTTGAAGCCTTGTAAAGAGTCATGAGGAAGGTACCTGTGAGCTGGAATCTTTTGGTCTCCAGCTATGAGGAGAACATCACACAGCTGCTTCTGCTGGAGATAATTTTCCATTTTACGGAAAGTTTGCTCTGCATGGTTTGTAGATCGGAAATATTCATCTGAGCCATTGGTGTTCATTCCAAGTAGTGAACTGCTAGTTGTGGATAACCTGGGAGGGAAAGAGGCAGTGTAATTACTGTAGTATTATAAATTCTGATTATGCTTGTCATATAATTTTTGTTCAAAGGGCATAACAGAAATGTTTAAAAATATATAGTTTTTATGATCCTGGTCTTACTATGCCTTTTTCCGTTTCTTTCTGTTTGTTGTCTGCAATTTTTCATTCACAAGGTTGCATTCAAGCCCTAATGTCAATGAACAAAAAAAACGTTATACAGAGCTGGCTCTACTGAGTTTTCTACTTCCTGTCAGTTTTAAGTCAGCTATGCACAGATTGCATAGTGCTGACTAGTCAAATGCAGCCTCTTGACCACAAAACACAAAAACCTAAAAAGTAAAGCTATTCCTATGATATTAACGTCTAAAGCATCTTGTGGTATAAAGTTTTGGATGCTACATGTCTTTAGGTCTTATTTATATTTCTATTTTTCTTCATAGTCTCTGATTGTGCTTTACTTTGTACTTTAAATTGTATTACTAAATAGGAATGAATTAAAAGATAATCTAACAAGGGCCATATAATTCCACACAAATAACCTAACCAAAAAGCTGATGAAATCAACACATTATATTGCCTTCAGAATCTGAATGCAAATAATAAAGACAAGCGAATTTTTCTGCTTTTTCATGGAAATGTAAAATATAAATGTATTCCTCCCACTCCAGAATTCTCCTAGCTATCCAACTTAGAAATACGTGTAAAAACTATATACAGGTTTTCTTTTGATTTCACTGTTTTTTTTAAAAAAAACATCATTCCTTACTACCTTTTCAATATATATTATGTTACACATTTAAATATATTTTTATTATTTTCTTAGAAAAATATTTCTTACTGCCACCTGGTTTTGGTAAAATATTAATGCATTTGTTGACATACATGATATCATATGCCTTGAAAAAGCTGCAATCTCCAACATTTTTAGTTATTAAAAAACTTTTTAGAAAAATATTTTCTCAATTTAATATTACATATTATTAAAATGTAAAGCACCTGTTTTTTAAATTTCCAAGACCAGCTAGGAAACAATGGATGTTGGCTGACTAAATATACCAGTTGGCTTTGATAATGTTAATACATATACTTAAATGTTTAGAAGAGATAACATCCCTTCATCAAGTTAAGAAGAATATTGAAATTTAGCAGAATGAACACATTGAACATTTATTTCAGAAAATACAGAAATAAAGAATAGGTAAATCAGGTAGAGTCACCTAATACTATTGTCAGAAAATAAAGATAAGTTAAATCATTCATTTTCAAAGATCATACATCTTTAAATAGCTAATCAGGATTCAAGGGGGATAATTAGAAATCAAATTATATTAGCATTGAATTGAGACATAGTAGAGAGTTTTCAGTTCCCTCTGCATTACAAGCAAATTATTGTACATCAGTGCTTTTCAGAATAATATAGAACGATATAAGGGTTGGTATGACTGTTGTGCATCTGGCTTTTTCCAGACATCCTTTTTGTTCCATCTGAAAGTCTTCCTCGATCGCGACAGTCTTTCAATTTTTGCATTGCCCTTACAGAAATCCCACAGCCCTTTTGGAGCGTGGCATCTTTTGGACAATGGTGTGTTGAAGGCTTTCAGATCCCCAGTGTATTTAATTTCCTTCAAGCGAAACAAACTACAAAGCAGTCACGTGGGCCTGGCTCTGCCAAACTCATTGGATATGTAAGATCATTTACAGTCTGCACAGATGCATTAATTCCAGGATAACTGAGGTATGTCCACCCTGAGGTGTATGTACGCGTCACCATCAGCTGAGGAACATGAGTACAGCCAGCCTGTTGCATCCCAGACCTTCAAACTCACTCTGCATGTGTACAGTATGTGTATATGTGTTTCTGTCTGGGTAATTTCAAACAGATATTACTCTCTGAAAATACATTAAGATATACCACATCAATACAATAAAATCTCTTGCTTTCTTTGAACTTATTTATTACAATTTTAAAAGCATTTTCCTTTTTAAAGAAAAGAAGGGGCAAGGCAAGTCCACCTATAATGTGTATCCTTTGCAGTTTACAGCTTATAGAAATTAATTAGTCTCAGTGAGTTTAATGACTACACTTTTTTGCTTCTTTTCCTTCAGTACTCTCCGTTGAATGTGAAGAGGCTGCAAAACTGGATTACATGCTCATTAGTTTTGCCTCAGCTACTTGCTACCAAACTTGTAGTCTGTAGTTTTCATATTTTGTCATTTACCTCCTAGACTTTCTTTCACATTTTCAGAAAATAAAATTTGAAAGCTTTGGAATAAATATAACAATGTCTTTCATGCATCCTTCTGTAATTTATCTTTCTGTATCTCGAATAATGTTTAACAAAATAAAATTCAGTTCTGTCTATTTTCACTTTATCTTCTCATCATTTTTCCTTTTAATTCTTTTTCGCACTTTTCTGTTATATAAATAGAAGCCATAAAATATTGTGGATTATTTTTTCAAAAACATGTTGTGTCCAGTTTGTTACATCCAGTTTAAGCATGGTTGTATAGTATGTATGTTTTTGACATTGCACTTGACCTTGATATCCATAGAAAACAACCAAAATAAAACTCAACCACCCCTACTGCAGAGGCACAGTAACAGTTTCTTGAAATAAATGATTTCCATAGTGGGCATATGTTCGTGGGCAGAGCAATCATTTTCAAGCTGCAAAGATTCACAAAAGGACTTAAAGTCCAAAAATGTTCAGACCTGGGTATTTTTTTCACAGGTTTTGTAGAGTGACCTTTATCTACAGCAGAAATACCACTAACAGTATTATGATTGATTATTTCAAAGACAAAGGTCCTGAGAGACTGAAACATACTGGAAGCAAAAAAAAAATGCTTCATTAACTTTATTAATATTAATTTTATAACTGTTAGTTTATCTTCAGTACTTAATTCAAAACTGTAGCTATAGTATATTAATGAAGTGACGAATTCGAAGATAAAAAAGTTATGTATTTTCCTTAGTGTATGAGTATAAGTGATACACAGAGAACTCAAAAGTTGACCTGCCAAATACAAGAGAGGAAAAAATTAAATGAACTACAGAAGACAGAGGTTAAAGTACATTGCAAAAAGAAGTGAGTAAAAATATTGACAGATCTGATGCTTAAGGTCTGAAATATAACAGAGGATCCTATGGACTGTGGTACCAAGATAGGCAAGCTAATTGCGAATGTACCATCTGAATATGACTATCCATCATATGCTGTTCTATGAGGTATAGTTTAACATGTTGAAAATGCAGATTAGTTCATTCAAATCTACTCAGAAAGGAAACATACAAGATGGAGAATTATTTTTTCTATTGGACAAATAAAATCTGAAGAACATTGAAAAATAAACATTTCCAGAAGGACATTGGTCCCATGATCACCAAGGACATAGTTTTCTACTTAGTCGTGAGGGAAAATTACTTACGAGTCATACTGAAGAATCAGAACTCCAAACTGCTTAATGTCATCTTTGCGTTAGGGTTCATTCACTAGGGTGGTGAGTTAATACCATTAACGCTACTAATAATGGCTTAAGAACTCAGATTAGACTGGCAACAGCAGAGAGAAACCTCTACTTAAATGATTTCAAAGTAGTTAAGCTAGGTGACCTTCATCTTAGGTAGAGAGCTGACCGAAATAATTTCGGGGTTTTCCTGTAAGAATATATGAAAGCTGGTGAAAATATGGTAATCTTTTTTTAAAAAAGTGAAAAGAACAGGAAATTATGGAACAAACAAACTGAAAAAATGCTTGAACAAATAGTCAAAAAATGTTAAGCATCTAGATGATAAGAGGGAGATAAATACCAGCCAACATGGCTGTTCAGAACAAATCATGTCATACCAGTTTCTTTTTGTGACAAGATAACATAGCTTACTGGAAGAAGAAAATTAGGTGTCAGAAGTCATCTTGAATTTTGGATGACTTCTGCCACTATTTCACATGACGTTTTCAAAATCAAGCCAGAATAGCATGTTTTTACTGAAATGAATATAAGAGAGATGAACAACCTGTATAGTCAAATTTGAAAATTTATCAGGGATTCATTTTCAAAGGCAGAAGCTGTTTTCAATCCATTCCATGGTAACATATTTTGCTTCTGATGCTGCTCAGTATTTTTATTACAGAAAAGCACAGGATAGAAACTGGGTATAATGTTTATATTGATGCATAATAACAGGTTGCAAGGTCTGGGGGAACAGAATTTAATTTCAAAATGCCATCTTTGTCCTTGTCTTTCATGGACTTTATGAATATTTTTCCTTTTCAGAGACCTACTCATCCTTGTGAGTAATTAACTGAATGAAATACAAGATAAAAAATGGCAGTCTAGGTAAAAGCTAGATTTTAGTTTATACTGGATCCCAAGCAAAAATGATGTTATGGAGTAAAAACTTAATTTTTTTTTTTTTTTTTTAGGTAGGGGGAATGGACATGATGAGTTTTGCAGTACATTCTAGGCCTGTTTTCTTCAGTTCTTAGAAATTCTGAATTATATGAAAATCATTTTCTCTCCTCATAAAGTACTCTTCCAACACAGAAATCTTTGTTAATCAGTCTATAAAGGATAAATTCACTTTTTCTCGTTGATTAATTAATTAAAATGTGATAAAACCTAAATGTCATTTACATACCATATCCTTTTTAAAACTGAATATAATCTTTTAAGTACTTCTTTAAGTGTGTCTGTGGCAAAAAAGAAAACCAAGCTTGATCACAAGGGAACTAAGAAGGATAATATTGCATGAAAAGCATATAATAAAATGCATCATTATGATTTTGTTTTACTTGATAAGGCTATTATATTTTTACAGCAGCTACTTCTCTATTGGATACTTGTTGAATATACGTATTTAACCTGCTTTAATATTTATGAAATGCAGTTTAATCAAGGAACAGTTCAGTTATTACTGTCATTTATAGATTTTGGACCACCTTAGCGCTGAACTGTAGACCATACCATCCACCAGTAGCAAACTATATGCC